TATGTCGATGCTAGGTTGCCCATACTGGTCAGCGTGGAGGGATGCTCTTCTCCCAGCACCCTTGAACATATTTCCAGCTCTTTAGCTTGTAGCTCCTCCGCCTGCGTCCATCGACCTTGGTGCCGGTATGTCGATGCCAGGTTGGCCATACTAGTCAGCGTGTCAGGATGCTCTTCCCCCAGCACTCTCTTCATTGTCTTCATCACTTGCACCTCGAGCTTCTCCGCCTGCGTCCATCGACCTTGGTGCCGATATGTCGATGCTAGGTTGCCCATACTGGTCAGCGTGGAGGGATGCTCTTCCCCCAGCACTCTCTTCATTGTCTCCATCACTTGCACCTCGAGCTCCTCTGCCTGCGTCCATCGACCTTGGTGCCGGTATGTCGATGCTAGGTTAGCCATACTGGTCAGCGTGGAGGGGTGCTGAGCCCCGAGTGATTCCATGAGTCCATTGAACGCCTTCTCCAAAGAAGCTTTAGCGGCAACAAATTCACCCTTGAGAAGCAATGCCTCCCCTAAATGGTTATAGCTCTCCAATGTATGCTGTTCCAAACTACTTCTATACTGCTCCTTCCACTGGACAACCAAAGTGTGCGCCGCTATGGCGTCAGTGTACTTCCCGTCGACGATGAAACATAACCCCATCTTCTCGAGCAACTCATATCGCTCAGCGCAATCTTGAACGGCATCATCATCACATATTCGCTGTGCGTGCGGCAGATAGATGGTCCATATACCTCGATTATGATGCTGCCGTGCCGGGAAAATCTCGGCTACGTGTTCCAGACAACTTTTGGTCCAATCCGACAATGAGTTCTCCATCTTCAGCCAGTTTCGAGCAGCCAGCTGCACCAGCCGATGAAGGTCGTACATCTCGTCGAAACTTGTGACACTGTCGCTTCTGGCGTGTCTTTTTATAAAAGAATAGCCCGTCAAAATGGCAAGAGCCTTGACCATTTCGATCTCCGAGTTCCCTTTCGGCAGTAATGATCGCGGAATATTCTTTTCGTTCATACATGCCATCGATGAAAGTATCTTTGCGGCGAGATTGTGGTGTTTACGAATACGGTCAAATGATATCAGCCACGTCGTGGCGATGGGATTCTTCGCATTAGGGTAACGCGACGGGTCTCCAAAATCCTCGCTCAGAAGCTTGATAACATCGTCCTCCGGCTGTTCTAATAGTCGAAGATACATCTGGGCAGATTCTTGGGTCATATTGATGAACGATGCGGCCTGGATGAGTGCGAGTGGGAGGCCAGCTAACTTCTCCGTCAAAACGAATATGGTGGCATCGTTGTCGGCAAGGTCAGGTTTCTCCAGGGCTTCTCGGAACAGCTTCACACCTTCCGCTGGCGACAATTGATCAAGTTCAATCACCCCTTTTCCCGCCATAAATGTAGCTACGGCCCGAGACCGGGTGGTAATGACAATTGAGCCATGCGCAGTGTTTGGCAGAAACTGTTCTAAACTTAGAATATCCTCACTGGCATCCGCTCGTCGTCCCCAGAGCATTTCGTCGTCGGCATTGTCCACAATCAAGAGCCATTTCTCGTTCGACGAGTGACTGAGCCGCTGTTTGAGTAGGTTCTTAATATCCGCCTTATCGTCTCCAATCCCAGGAATGCGAAGCTTCTTCCCAATCTCGAGCACATCTCTTTCAAATGTCAACTGCTCGGACGCTTCAATCCAGAAGACGGAATGGTACGGATGTTCCTTCTTCTGCTGAAACGCGAGCTCCAGGGCGAGTCGGCTTTTACCGATGCCTCCGAGCCCCAGGATGGAGGCTATCCGGCGACTGTTGGGTGTAAAGAGAAGCTCTTTCAGACGTGCGATCTCGTCGATACGACCAACAAAACCGGACAAGCCATCGAAGGGGACATGCCAGACCGGGCTCGAAGATTCATCTAGGTGTAAAAGTCAGTCATTTTCATTTAGAAACTTACTACAACTGCAACTAATAAGGAGCTTACCCTTGTCAGTGACCTCATCTACCACACTCCATTCATCCAAGAAGACCTTCACGCATGCCGCCGCCATGGCCGCAGCGTAGCCCTGCCAGGCCTTGCTCTTGTGACTGTCGGCATAGTCACACGCTGCCTTGATCACGATCGTCGGATGCTGGTCCCACACGCCCGCCCCTTCCATTTCGAATGCCGCCACCGCGTCAAATTGTGCCATTCGATCGCGATCTTCCCCAGACTTCATCACCGTGTTCGCGGATCCGAATCTACCAAAGTGGATGAAAGGAGTATCGTTCCGATGTAGGAGATCTCCTGTCTGAGGAAGGCTGTGTCGGTCACGCAAGATAAGTCGGGCCTGCCCGCAACCAATTTCGTCACAACTGTTGTAACAGTTCTCCCCGTCACTGCTACACTGATCGCAACTACTGTCCAGTCGATGTCGATGAATGTAAGTCGCCTCATAAAGTTTGTCCTGACTGGCGCCCGGATACTTGGCGTCTGGCAGAGCCTTCTGTAAACCTTCCGATTGCAGGAGAGCGGCGAGATTTCTCGTCAATCTGGTACGATTGTCGCGCACCTGTAGCATATTAATGAATGACTGGATCTCCGAGTTGGCTCTTCCCAGGCTGTCCTCGACTCCGCTCTTCCTCTGAAACCCATTGGGATATTGACGACCAAAGTCATACTGAATCACACTGGTGCTGATGACAATATCTCCGAGCACGATCTCTTCGTGCGTGTTCGGATGGACCGGGACGACACCACAGATGCCAACCACCAACGCCAGCTGAATACTGGGAAAACTAGAGCGGAGGCCTGTAGCCACCGCCGAGGCATTGACACTTCCCATTCTTGCCATGTGCGCCAGGACCACGTTATGCTTTCCCATCACTCCGGTGGTATATGTATTCCGATCTCCATCCGCTTTGCCATATCGCTTTCCCTCATCTTCCCAGCATCTATCAAACACCGCTCGGACCTTTTCAGCCTCTAATGTCAAGGCACAGATGATGGCCACCTTGAAGCTGCGGCGATCGCGGGGAGGGCCGCTCAGCGACATATCCTCAGGAAAGGTGAGATGGACGACCGTTATACGGCGAGGCAATGCATTCGATATGGCTGTCGTGTGCACCGCATATGCGACGAGGCACTATCTTCATGTTGATAGAACGACACGGTCGAAGACGCCAAATGTATATTGATCAGGCTGAGGAAGGGCGCAGTTAGACTTATCTTCTCAGCTACGCCTGTTAGATCGACCAATCATAACTGACGTCGACACACACTTCCAGAACACGAAGCCTTCGAAAGGTCGTCGTCACCATGGGTGTGACTGCCTTCACACGGTTCGAAATCTTCCGCGCATGGGGTGATCCAAGGGAGGTCAGCCACTTCAGCAACTAAACAGTTATCGATAAAGCCCCAAATGAGGAGCCTCCGTACTCTGGGTATGGAGATTATTATCCCCAACAGTACGCTACATTGGATCTGCGGTGCCGAAATGGAATGCCGCACCATCATTCGATCGAATTCCCGCCGTGTTAATGTAGGACTGCTGTCCGTCGCTGCACCGAATTATTCTAGGTTAAATTAGTGGTTCGCCAGATGGCATTCGATTGTGCCGAGTTTCAGATGCCGAAATCTTTATTGTCGTATACTCCGCCCTCCGTACAAGGGGGTACGAAACATTCTCCCCTACCAGACAGGAGCTATGGATACTCGTAACGAGAATATTATAACTGCTATTGTCTCGTAGTCCTACTGTACAGTACAGGAGTGGTCACTGGTCCCTTGGTGATTGACCGACGAGTTGTCCAAAAACTTGCCAGGAAGTCGCTCTACGGTTCACCGTAAAAGTAGCACAGTCTGCTGGATGTTTTGCAGTATAGAAGATTCGAGAAACTCTCAAGAGGACAGGTGTCCTCTTGTAGAGAGAGGTGTCAACGCTGTACTCGCGCCAAAGTGCTGGCCGACAGTGTGAGTGTTCACATCAACTCACCACTCTCTTTCTTGTACTGTACTGTGTAGACTTTTTTAGGCTTCGCTCCCTCGCAATGGCCCATGTCGATCATGGCTCCAAATCTGTCCGTGTCACAACACGAACAAAGCGAGCACATGATTCTCAGCCAATCACTTACGGCCTCAGACATGGCCAAGGTGGTTGGTTGTACTAGGCGCACTGTTAAACGACACCGCGCGAACCTACGATGTTTTGGCACCACTACTGCACCCCGCAATCCAGGCGGCCGACCTTCGATTCTAACGCCAGTGATGGTATCGGAGCTGTGCGAACATTTATTTGATAAACCCGATGAAGACTTGGACGGCATGGTCATATGGCTGTGGGATGAGTTTGAGATCCTTGCATCGCGTTGGTCGATCAGGAGAGCTCTATCCTCTGCAGGCTGGTCCATAAAAGCAATACGACGGATCGCAAAAGGCCGAAATGCTGACCTTCGTGACTACTACCAGAATGCCATGTCCGAGTATCCATCATATCAACGAGTCTATGTCGACGAATCCGGATGCGACAAGAGAATCGGCTTCCGCCGCTGGGGATGGTCGCCTCGTGGCGTAACCCCTACCAAGATTGCCCAGCTTCCCCGAGGAAAGCGATATCAGATTTTACCCGCATTCAGTCAGGACGGAATCGTGATCACGCGAGTTTTCCAGGGCAATACCGATGCTACTATATTCCTAGACTTTATCGAGCAATTACTCTGTCACTGCAACCCCTTTCCTCAAGAAAAATCTGTAATCATCATGGATAACGCATCGTTCCATCGCACGAAAGAGGTTGAAGAAGCATGCGCACGCGCAGGAGTCAAGCTAGTCTTCCTACCTCCCTACTCGCCCGACTTTAACCCCATTGAGGAGTTCTTTGCCGAATTGAAGGCGTTTGTCAAAAAACATTGGCATGTGTTTGAGGACAATCCATCATCCGATTTTGTTTCGTTCCTAGAATGGTGTATCAACGAAGTAGGCGGAAGAGAAGCAAGCGCACGTGGCCACTTCAGGAGCGCGGGCGTTACAATAGAAGAGCTGTAAAAACTGTATAGTACTGTAATCCTAAGATCTAAACACTAGAAACTTCTGATAATGCTGTAGCTGCGGCTCCAGGCCGAAAATAACTATTAATCAGTCCACAAGACACCACATACATAGGAAAGGTCAAGATGTATCGACCGACGCTAGAAATCCAAGACGCTATCCGCTTCAACATTATTTTGCTTGCAAAGTTTGACCCATAAAGGAATGTCCTTCACAAATCGCCGAGCGATGCCTTCCTCCACCCCTCCTTGCTCAATGAGAAAAGTAGGATTCTGGTCCTCATAGACCAAGTCGAGGTCGAAGGCTTTGTCAAGAAGAAAGTCAGCTGCTTTTTGATATTCGTGTTTGTGTGATTCCTTCTTTACCCGGGACTTCAGCCAGTCGCAGTAGTCTTGTACATTGACATCGTGGAGGCCAGTGATGTCGAGACGCTTGGTTTCGGGTCTCTGCATGGTTTCTGACTCTGTCGAAGATTGAGGTGGCAGAACGTTAGTGATCTGGATCGGGGCCCTGTCGAAAGAAACAGATCCACGGTCAACACGCTTCTTCCGCATATATTGTTCTTCTTCTGCATAGATTTGCTGTCGAAGGCTGTCCGGGATGTCGTCATGAGATTCCAGACGATTTTTATCCTCGACGTACCTGACGAGAGTTCGTAGATGGTGGCCTTTTAAGGTGTACCTTTTTTGAGTTTGAGTGTCATGCCAACACCAGGAATGCTTGACACAGGGTGGTCCCGGACAACGCATTAAGGCGTAGACATATCGCCAAGCAGAGGGATTGCTTGTTGTGGATTCCTCAGCGTCAATTTGAGCGGCACGCTCGGCCAGCATGTGTTGGGTAGCTGTCCCCCTAACTTTCGTGGGTCTAGTCGCTCCGCTATTAGTCGAAATTAATGGGTTAACTTCTATGTAGCGAATGCGAATTTTCACGAAGAGCTTCTTCCCTTTCTGAAAAAGCTCACTCCATTCTGTTAGCTGTCTCTCCACAACGGACCATTCAACTCGCAAATCGTCAAACTGCCGCGTGAGCGGACGCCCTGTTCGCCCAGTCACAGACACGATCACCTCGGTCTCTTCGACTCGAACACTCCGAGGAGGGTATCCTTTCTTTGACAGTCGTTCCTCCAGACGCGGTTGTAGGCACTTCTCCCAGTATACCGCAGGACTGAGCACCACGTCTTGTTCTGTGTCCGTGATAATCGCCTTCTTTTTCATCATGACTTTCCACTCGATGGAGTAGTGTAAACAACAAGGAGGCACCTCCTCGTATGTTACGTTCCCATCCCAATCTTCGAAGGACACAAAGCCGAGTCGCTGCGGGTGAGTCTCTTGTGAAAGGACTGAGAGTGAACGAGAAGACAATCGCGGAACCGGAGTCGGTGCGGTCGAATACGGGGACCAACGTCCGTTCACCGCAGGGGTTCTGGTGCGACAAGTGTACGGTGATCCCCAGTCTTCTACAGACGGGGCCACAGACCAATCTTGCGCAGAATCTCGTATATTTGTCATTTCCACTCTCTTGAGCCTGTACTCGAATTAGAGGCTCATCTGAACAGTGCAGTGACGCTCCAATGTTCGGATGGGTGGATGTGTATCTTGGGTTTGTGCAAGCGCAGTAGAAGTCGCGGAGGTTCGGCGTATAACCAAGCTTGGCATCAGCAAATCTGGTTTACTCTCACCCAGATCACACCCAACAGACTGCCATCGCAACACCATCGCGCCTCAATGAATAGTCAGGTCGAAGCTACCAACGCACTTTGTCTTTTGTCATGTCGTGTGGTAGATTAGAGGTGAACGGCGAAAAAAGGGAATAAGATTGCTGTCGCATCATTAGCGGCTCTCCAGAACATTTTCGATTCTACCTGCTTCATATTTCAGCAAGGAGAAATCGATACTTTCAGTCGCCGGCCACTGTAGCGCTCTCATTGAACCTTGCATAGTAGAAGTGTTCAAAGAGAGGACAAGCGTAAAGGTGCCCTACCATGCATGAATCAATTAGCTAGTCGGTCCGGAGAATCAAATACCAAATGCATTTTGCGTTGTCGTTTGTCGCACAAGCATGGCTATGCAAAGGCTGTCTCACACAACCACGGACATAGAGAGTCGCCATACAGAATCGACGCGTCGTGGTATATAGGGAAGAATTCAGCTGTTAATCTGACCTCAAAAACCAGTGGGATAAGCTTGTCAAATTATATGCAGAAATTGCAAACGGAGCTTACAGTATCCTGCACTTCCGAGAGGCCCATGGCGAGATGCCAAGTCAAGCTAAAAAAAAACACCGTTCAAATGACATACGCCTTTTCTTAGAATCAGATAAAACTTTTCCAGTTGATAAATTACAGCCACATATAATTGGACTACACACACAGTCAGCGCTTAACTATAATAAGTAAAGCCTAGACAAAAGTGGATTCTGTGCAACTTTATTTATATAGTTCTTCATTATCAAAGGTGACGCCAGTTTCGCACCATTCTGTATAGTTAGCGTACAGCAGTGAAGACAACAGAATCAGACTCAAGAGGAAATCTAACTCCCTTGGGAATAGAATTTTTGACTTTGTTCTAGTATTCATCAAATTGTGCCTTGGCCCTGTGGGTGAGGCAAGATAGTATGTCAACAGAACACCATGGTCGGAATCCGACATTGGACCGGGTTTATAGTTATTGTACAGAAGAGACAGGAAGAATCAAACTTAACACGAGAGTTAAATCGCTTTGAGGTGTGAACTGATACTCATTGGGAAGCGGAGCTTGAATAGGCCAATTGGAGAGACCAGGTACCACGTGACCGATGTCAAGTGTGTTTTCCTGAGGAACCGTAGCTTGCGCGCCAACTGAGGAGACCACTATCACGTGGCAACAGGATTGGGACTAGGACAAGCAATCCAGGAGCGAATTGATCCTCAAAGGTTACTCCTTGGCAAAACTGGCTCCTGAAGGATTGGCACTGGTAACGCCTCTCACCTTTGTTCGTCCTGAACCCAGGAATTTGCTCCTGGTACAAATTTGGGCTTTAGATAGATCCTCTCCTCGTGGCCAATCAACACTAGAATCACTCTCCTGGGCCGGCTCCACTCCTTAAGAATGCCTAATACCGAGATGACATCTTGAGTACAGGTTATGACCAAGGATGACAGCTGCAGGACATATTCTGTCCTCACGATTTCCTCCTTGACGTAAGTCGAGCCTAGGTCAAAAATTTTTTTTATCTGGCCTGCCTTTTGGAACTTTCCTCACCAACTATGGCGAGTACGCTAGCGGAATCTAGTGCCTGCTCATCGATATCTAGCTCTCTCTGGGGCACTAACACAATCACGTTTGTTCCATCCGTAGTCACTGCCTCGAAACAGTTGTCTGGCGTCAAAAGATGCATGTTTGTGTCGAACATTCGCAGTCCTTTTCGCATATTTTTCTTCGCCACTCGCACCACTTCTGATGGATCAGAACGATCTACCCATATAGACTGCACATTTCGCCAAATGTTGTTTTCTCTGATTTTGAAATGAATGCATACCTGTTCCTTGGGCATAATTTCTTGCTGCCCTCGACGTTCTAGCTCTTCCTTCTTCTTCTTCTCGTCCTCCTC